GGAAGGTTGGCAGGCAGGTAGGAGAGTGCGGGAAGGTTGGCAGGCAGGTAGGAGAGTGCGGGAAGGTTGGCAGGCAGGTAGGAGAGTGCGGGAAGGTTGGCAGGCAGGTAGGAGAGTGCGGGAAGGTTGGCAGGCAGGTAGGAGAGTGCGGGAAGGTTGGCAGGCAGGTAGGAGAGTGCGGGAAGGTTGGCAGGCAGGTAGGAGAGTGCGGGAAGGTTGGCAGGCAGGTAGGAGAGTGCGGGAAGGTTGGCAGGCAGGTAGGAGAGTGCGGGAAGGTTGGCAGGCAGGTAGGAGAGTGTGGGAAGGTTGGCAGGCAGGTAGGAGAGTGTGGGAAGGTTGGCAGGCAGGTAGGAGAGTGTGGGAAGGTTGGCAGGCAGGTAGGAGAGTGTGGGAAGGTTGGCAGGCAGGTAGGAGAGTGTGGGAAGGTTGGCAGGCAGGTAGGAGAGTGTGGGAAGGTTGGCAGGCAGGTAGGAGAGTGTGGGAAATAGAAGAGCGGGAATGGGGGGGGGGGGGTGAGTAAGAGTACTCACCCAGTGAGTGAGTAGCACTCCCAGCCCTGCCCAGTGCTACAGTCACCCAGCCCTGCCCAGTGCTAGTCACCCAGCCCTGCCCAGTGTTACAGTCACCCAGCCCTGCCCAGTGCTACAGTCACCCCCGCCCTGCCCAGTGTTACAGTCACCCAGCCCTGCCCAGTGTTACAGTCACCCAGCCCTGCCCAGTGTTACAGTCACCACAGCCCTGCCCAGTGTTACAGTCACCCAGCCCTGCCCAGTATTACAGTCACCCAGCCCTGTCCAGTGTTACAGTCACCCCAGCCCTGTCCAGTGTTACAGTCACCCCAGCCCTGCCCAGTGTTACAGTCACCCAGCCCTGCCCAGTGCTACAGTCACCCCCGCCCTGTCCAGTGTTACAGTCACCCCAGCCCTGCCCAGTGCTACAGTCACCCCCGCCCTGCCCAGTGTTACAGTCACCCAGCCCTATCCAGTGTTAGTCACCCCAGCCCTGCCCAGTGTTACAGTCACCCAGCCCTGCCCAGTGCTACAGTCACCCAGCCCTGCCCAGTGTTACAGTCACCACAGCCCTGCCCAGTGTTACAGTCACCACAGCCCTGCCCAGTGTTACAGTCACCCAGCCCTGCCCAGTGTTACAGTCACCCCAGCCCTGCCCAGTGTTACAGTCACCCAGCCCTGCCCAGTGTTACAGTCACCCCAGCCCTGCCCAGTGCTACAGTCACCCAGCCCTGCCCAGTGCTACAGTCACCCAGCCCTGCCCAGTGTTACAGTCACCACAGCCCTGCCCAGTGTTACAGTCACCCAGCCCTGCCCAGTGTTACAGTCACCCAGCCCTGCCCAGTGTTACAGTCACCCAGCCCTGCCCAGTGTTACAATCACCCCAGCCCTGCCCAGTGCTACAGTCACCCAGCCCTGCCCAGTGTTACAGTCACCCAGCCCTGCCCAGTGTTACAGTCACCCAGCCCTGCCCAGTGCTAGTCACCCCAGCCCTACCCAGTGCTACAGTCACCCAGCCCTGCCCAGTGCTACAGTCACCCAGCCCTGCCCAGTGCTACAGTCACCCCCGCCTTATTAATACTGGGAAGTGATTGCAGCTTGCCTGTGGGAAGGAATGGAGTACCAAACACCCGTAACATTTTCTGTTCTATTAACTATAATATAATATCCAGCACTCCCAGGTACCTAACAGGTACCTGGAGTGTGTGAGAGAAAAGGACGAAGGCCCAAGCTGAACTGCCCATGGGGGGTGGGGGGGGGGGGGGGGGGGGGGTGCGGGCCCCTGACGAGCATACAACGACCGCCTTGTTCCGAGCGGTGCTGGGTAGGCTTAGCAAGATGGCGCCCACCATACCACGGAGAGCGGGAAGACGAAGGGGGGTGGGGGGGGGGGCGTAGATGGTAAAAGGAGACGAGGGAAAAGTAGAAAAGGAATGGGAAAGGAAAGGCAAGGAGAAGCCGGTGGCTGAGCGGACAGAACACTGGTCGCGGGATCCTGTGGTCCCGGGTTCGATCCCGGTCGCCGGCGAGAAACAATGGGCAGAGTTTCTGTCACCCTGATGTCCCTGTTACCTAGCAGTAAATAGGTACCTGGGAGTTAGTCAGCTGTCACGGGCTGTTTCCTGAGGGCTAAGGCTCGAGGACCGGGCCGCGGGGACACTAAGCCCCGAAATCATCTCAAGATAAGAAGGCACGGGAAGGGGAGGTGGTAGTGGGGGGGAATGGATGACACGTGGATGGGTGACGGAGTGTATGGACGTATGTATAGTGTATGGAAGGAGGGAAAAGCATTCATTCACTCGAGGAAGGGAAGACAAGAGATCCGTCCATGTACTCGCCTAGTTGTGCTTGCGGGGGTTGAGCTCTGGCTCTCTGGTCCCGCCTCTCAATCAACTGGTGTACAGATTTCCGAGCCTACTGACTCGTTATGCTACACATGCTACCTCATGAGAGGTAGCGGAAAGGGTGGGTGGGAGGGAGGGAGGGAGGGAGGGAGGGAGACATTCTGGTGAGTGATTGTGATAGTGAAGTGAAACTGGGAGAGGAGGGAGATGGGTGAGAATTGGGCAAGAGGAAAGGGAGGAAGAGCTGGGCGACAGCGGGGGAGGGGGGTGAACACTGAGAATAGAATGGGGAATCTGGCTTAGGGGGGAGAAGGGCTAGAAATCGCGAGCGATACGGTCCGGGTTCGTATCCTGGCCGGGGAGGATTGATTGGGTGCCAATCCTTACTGTACGCCTCAGTTCACCCCAGCAGAGATTGGGTACCGGGTTGTTAAAGAACTGGTGGATAGTATTCCAGGGAAACTAGCGGGTAAGGCTTACCATGGGACAGGAAAGCCCTCGGCCTGCTAACAGGCGTCAGCAGTCGTCTGTTCCTGTTCCCGCCTGTGTAGATGACAAGTAGCAGAGAAGAGGGCAAACATCAGAAGAGATGGGGGGGGGGGAAGGAGAGAAATCAGGATGGGGTGGGAAAGGGGGGGAGGGAAATCAGACGGGGAGGAGGGAAATCAGACAAGGGAAGAAGGGAAATCAGAAGGGTGGGGGAGAGGTAAATCAGAAGGGATGGGGGGGAGGAGGGAAATCAGAAGGGGTGGGGGGGAGGAGGGAAATCAGAAGGGATGGGGGGAGGAGGGAAATCAGGAGAAGGGGAGGAAAGTAAACCAGAAAGAAGAAAAAGGCTGGCAAGAGAAGGAAGGCAAAGGAAAAAAACGGGAAGTGAAGGAACAAAAGACAAGCGAGGTAGGGAAAGAAGGCAAGGCGAGGTAGGGAAAGAAGGCAAGGCGAGGTAGGGAAAGAAGGCAAGGCGAGGTAGGGAAAGAAGGCAAGGCGAGGTAGGGAAAGAAGGCAAGGCGAGGTAGGGAAAGAAGGCAAGGCGAGGTAGGGAAAGAAGGCAAGGCGAGGTAGGGAAAGAAGGCAAGGCGAGGTAGGGAAAGAAGGCAAGGCGAGGTAGGGAAAGAAGGCAAGGCGAGGTAGGGGCGCCGCTGACCACATCGTCGGTGGCGGCAACTTGTAAATGTAACGGTTGGCGAGGGTACCTGGCCAGATCCCCCCCCCCCCTTCCATACCTGTGACCCCCCCCCCTCCCCTTCCCCAACCCTGACAACCCCTATTTACCTGACCCCCTCCCTACCCCCTAATCTCGCTCCTTACCTGACCCATCTCCCTACCCCTAATCCCATTCCATACCTGATACACCCCCCTCCCTCCCCCCTACTCCCCACATCTCCCTCCCCACCAGACCATTGCCCCTCCACCCTTAGCCCCCTGGACCCTCCCCCGTCCCTTCCCTCCTGTAGCCCAACACCTTCAGCCAGCATGGGGCGGCGCGGATTCAACCACCAGGACTGAATTGACCGTATCCAACACACACACACACACACCTGGCTCAGAAAGGAATGTTTAGCCAAGTGTAGTCAGCTGTGTGGCCGTACCGCCCGCGAGACCACGAACCCCGCGATGCAAACCACGAACCGAACTCCTGAGAGCGGTTAAGTAAAATCCAAGATGGCGTTCACCCGGCTTGCATGACGTCACAACGCGCTTCCTCGCAAGACATACTGGGCTGACTCCCAGAGGGAACAAGAATATCAAAGACCAACGCCAATATAAAACCGGAGCTACTTCAATCTTACTAACGATGATTCAATGTCGAACCCATGCCAGTTTGATTCTGTGGCCAGTGGGTTGTGCGCGGTAAGACCCGGGCGGCGCGCCCGTCGATGACCCAGGCAAACTGTTGGGTGGATCGAGGCCCAAGTCAAAAGCTTCCGTGCCGGAGACCCCAGGTTGCCTGATGGCTTTCCTGGGCCAGGTGGCGAGTACTCTCACAGGACTGGTAATGGAAGTGGGGGAGGAGCGGGGATGGGGGGGTCACTACAACATTCCTCAGTGTACTCGCGCATACACCCAAGCTGCCGGCGTCGAGAGTTCAACTGGCAGCAAGTAGCTATCCAAGGGATCATGCCAGCCACACCTGCCAGTGTTTCTACCTTCGACTCGCTATACAAGGACATAACTTACACTCTCCACCAACACAACTACAAGAAAATAACGTAGACAACACCCTCTACCCCCCCCTCCAACACAATGCGGAGCCACCCTCGCACGCATCCAATACCCGGCAATTCTCCCCACGTACATAATATAATGTAGAATGGGTAAATTATATTTGGCAAACTTTCCACAAAATAGTTCATAGTCTCTCTTAGTAGTTTCGACGGTTAAAACGAATCAGCCAGTCACATAAATAATTTTATAAGGTAATTCTACGCATGTTATTGAGAGTAATTGTGAGTGAATGATTTACACCTACTAGGAAGAGTACTAGTTTCGGTTATGAGGAACGGGAGACATTGATTGTTGCAAAAGTTCAATAACCTGATATATTGCACTACAGGTAGAGGTTTAAGAGATGCGAGCCCCCACAGACGAGTAATTATCAGGCGGCGGCGCCAAGTCGGGAAGACAAATAAAGGTATTCAATACTCACCTTGAGGGTTGGGGTGCCGCCGTAGGCCGCCAGCAGGTCATGGTCATCGTCCTCGTTGGAGCTGAGCTAGGGTTAAGGATCATAGTAGCTGATGGGAGACTTCAACACTGAGAGGTAGGTAGTGATCCCACACACACTAAACTCGTCACTCCCGGGGGCCACACTGGCCCACCACACACACTGGCCCGGTCGTCCGTGGGCCACCTGCAGGCCACCGGGGCCACACTACACTTCACAACAGTGATAGCAGGAGCCAGGTTGGCTACGGTGGTAGAGGTAGCCATCCCCGGCAGCGTAGGTCGGGAGGGTTGGTTAGGGGTGGCTGGAGTGTAGCGTGGGTGGGCTAGTGTTGGGACGGATGCAAGGGGCAGGGGTGGGTGGGCGTGCAGGAGACTGTGCTGGTGGTGGTGGCGTGCTGACTGCTGGCGCGGGACTGTGGCTGCTGCTGCTGTGGCCGGCGTGGGTTCCTCCCCCAAATTCCCTCCCCTCCCCCATCCCCCCCGCTCTCCCTTTTCCCCTCCTCCCGCCAGGAAATCCTCCAAGCCGTCGTGAAGACGCCACGCGCACCGGCCCCCCCCTCTCCCCCCCGCCCACCTCCCTCTCACCTGCCCCGCCCCCACACCTGCTACACCCGCCCACAACCCTGCACCCCACACACCAGGCGGTGCGGGTGTAGCAGCGGATCGTGGTGGGTTGGTTACGCCAGTTCTAGAGGCGGAGGCTATCCCCCCCCCAAGCCCCCCCCCAGCAACCGTTGGCGGGGCCACGCACGCACCGCCCCGGGACAACCACCACCACTACACCAACTACACCCACACATACGTGGAGGGCAGGGCGGGATGACCAACACCTTAGTATATACACCACTTGCTTTACACACCTACAGTATTCAGTATTCCCACCTGAAATATCACTCACCCCACACATTCTCACCGCTTGCACCCCCTCACCACCAGCCCCCTCCCTCCTGCCACCACAACGTACACCACCCTCTCCTGCCTCCACAACGTACACCACCCTCTCCTGCCTCCACAACGTACACCACCCTCTCCTGCCTCCACAACGTACACCACCCTCTCCTGCCTCCACAACGTACACCACCCTCTCCTGCCTCCACAACGTACACCACCCTCTCCTGCCTCCACACCGTACACCACCCTCTCCTGCCACCACAACGTACACCACCCTCTCCTGCCTCCACAACGTACACCACCCTCTCCTGCCTCCACAACGTACACCACCCTCTCCTGCCTCCACAACGTACACCACCCTCTCCTGCCTCCACAACGTACACCACCCTCTCCTGCCACCACAACGTACACCACCCTCTCCTGCCTCCACAACGTACACCACCCTCTCCTGCCTCCACAACGTACACCACCCTCTCCTGCTACCACAATCTCCCCCCAACAACCTACACTACCTTGTACCTCATTCACCCCAGCCTACCACTACACCCATCTCCGCCCGACCCTTAACCACAATCACCCCTATACCTGTTGTTGCTTTAGATTCAGCTACTCGTAACAAAATGTTCCAAGCAGGACGGGCTATAATGAGCCAGTAGTGGATTTGCCTGGCACAGGAGATGTGCACGACCTGACCCCATACCTATAACCTCCCTTCAATATTCTGTCTTCTCACCCTAAGTAGGCGTTACTGCCGCCTCGGCCTCGCCCTGGCTTCAAGTGGGGGTCCCTAGAAAGAACTAATGTGGCCCTCTAAATCGCAACGTTTCAAATGCCTCTCCATTCGAACCGCTCCGTGAGAATACCTCATTTACCATTCAAATCTAAACGCACCTAAGTGTTTTTTTAATCGCCTCGTATAACACACTGTCACCGTAAGAATTACATCTTTGTCAATGTCAACAGTGCTAGCTTATGCAGTCAAATTATAAAGCAAAGTGTAAGGTATCTATCTGCAATCTATCTAGAAGGGGTTTTATGGAGGAGTATGGCGGTGTGTGGCACTCCACCAGACAGGCAGGACGGCGCTCCAAGCAATTGTCCCGAGCCTTGATTCACATTTCCACTATTTCCGATCCAGTGGAGTTTATTTTTATTTCTTATTTTATAACAATATCCATTGTTATACACAGTAGAGAGAAGCAAAGAAGTTAGGAGGCGATCACTAACGCATAGGCCAGTCCTAGAGGGAAGGCCCGCCATCTTGGTCAAAAGTTGGCGGTGGCGGGAGAAAAAATGGTGATGGCAAGAGGCGTGGAGGGCGTTCCTGGCGCTCCTCACACACTCGTCCGCTCCACCTTCCTGCCGTCACCTGTCCACCACCACCACCACGCTATACCTCACTCCCTAGCATGCCAAGCCCTACTCTGCGCAACGCTTCCACCAACCACTATACCAGATATGCTGTATTCCAATCACCGAAATTTGCACCAAAGATCCGAAAGATAGTATGAAATAAGTCTTAAAAAAAATTACTACTGGTAACAGGAAGCCTGTTAGGCTTATTGATATCCTGATATAAAGGAGGGCGCAGCTGTCGCCACCCATCCAGCTACTGGCCACACCACTGGGCCCCACAACTTTTCTACACACTGCCAACCTTTCGTATGCTGTATTTCACCTCTAAATACTGTCATACATTTAGTACAGACTTTTAATTGATATACATTTATGGCCCTTATTCCAAAATGACCCGTAATAATTTTTCAGTCTTAAAAAACAAAAATCAGTGTAATGCACAACTATCTAGCACTGTAGGTAGTTATTTTATTTGCCAAAACCCTGACGACCTCCATAACCAAATGTAAGTCATACTTCACACTGCGACCAGTGACAACTACGAACAAGACAAATAACTGAATAATTCCCTGACTATTACAACTTTTCTGAAACTTCTGTTTTACCATTTTTTTCATTCTCCCGCTTTAAATTATTTCAATAATCTATCCTCATAGCCCATAAGGTAAATCAATCCTGCTCAAGGCACGTGCTAGAATGCTCATTCAGAAGCTTTCCTGCTCTTGAGACATGGTCTCCTCTTGGCTTTAGCTGTAAGGTCTTGGTCTTATACCTGGCCTATATTCTATATGACTACAATTTCGTATACGATAACCAGTCATACATACAACCCAACCAAATCAAAACGATAACCTTAAAAGTTATCTCAAGACAAGCCTAGCGCCAGGCTAGATTTGAGGAGTAGAACTCTCTGAAGAACTCACTTCAGGTATATTCCAGGCATAACACTAAAAGTTTCCACCCAGCTTTCCCCCGAAGGCACTCTTATAATAACCGACTACCACAAAATAGAGTAACAGGCTATTTCATCCAATCACATACTGCATGCTTCATTGTACAGCACCTACCCAAATGTAAGAATGTGGAAATATTTTGTCCCAACATAGAATACAGTTTAGTCAGAGATTTAAGATTACAAGGCTTGCTCATAGCCGTCTACCATTCATACACACAATTTCTTCTATGGTATCTGAATATTTTACCATTTATCATGTCAGCATATTTTTCACATCAGCAAATAACATTTACCATGCTAGAAATACATAATGAAGTTTTAGCCTCTAGTTATTAATTTAATACAGCACAATACTGTATAAAGATATATATATATAAATTGGGTATATACCCAAAGAATTTATATGTATGTGGGTATATATTGTATGCAAAACTTTGGAACAAAAACATCTTATACATTATAGTCTCTCCATCAAAATCTGGATCATATCATTCCTAATTCAATTCATGTTAATTTGAAATCTAAGTGTGAAATCTTAATTTTTCTTAAGTTTGCATCTTTTGGGGTTATTTGTTATCAAATTTTTGTCATAATTTTTTCTTATAGCAAGTGATACAATACAGTATGTACATGTTCATGCACATTTAGACACAAATAACAATCATTGGTAAACAGCATCATCTAAATCCTCATACTTAGCTTTCAATGTTTCGACCATTCACTTTCCACTACCGTTTCCTATTTCATTCACAAATTATATGACTGGCTTCCTTTATCTTTTGTCAAACAGCACTAGTGCTACAGTATTACGACATGATAATGACGGATCAAACTCGACTCACTAAAGGAAATTTTTTTTATAGAAATTACATTATGTTATTAACTGACAATCTGGTTGTCACCACTGCCCTCTCCAGAATCCAAAATTTATTTCTTCTAGAAATATGAATTTCAACATGGGAAATTCAGTGGAAGGGAAGTGATTCACTATTTAGCAGGAGCCAACATAGGCCTCGGCCTTGTAAAAGTGCACTGTACAGATATAAGCTAGAATATTTTTTACAAATCGGTGTGCCTAAGAAAAATACCACTTGTGATCACTTTAGAATTTAAAGTACATAAAGAGCAGTAAGCAAAATAATGTATTTAGAGGCAAGTCAAATAATTTTTTATACCAAGTCGAAAGAGATTTTTAAAAGGAGGGACACAGAAAATGTATATAACTGGAAGACAGACCCACTTGCATACCAGGCAACTGCCCTACAACAATCAGCATTGGTCAGAATAAACTCGATATGTCCATGCATAATGGACCTGCCAGAAAAGTCCCAGAAAAGTCTCATAGTCAAACTATCCTAAATAGAGTAACCTCATTCATCTTTGCCAACATACAAGGACTAAAAACAAGAACAAAAAACAAAGTACCATTCATAAATGGCCTCCTCACTGAGTCAAATGCAGTATTTGGAGCTTTCACAGAACAACCCGTCCTCTTAAAAATAACGTCACTTTTCGCTCACATGCGCGCTATGGCCAAATTTGGACGTACAGTAATTTGAAATGAAATCGACTCACAAAAGTGACGTACTGTTTCGTTTTCTGTTTGAGTTGTCCGGCTTACTCGGGAAGCTTAGAAAAGGAAACTTTCCATTAACGTTTTTCATACAGTTTTGAAACTTTGAAAATTTCCTGCCCACCTAATCTACCAGAGGACCCAAAACTTACTGTTCTTGAAAAAAAAAAATTAAAATAAATTTGGGATTTTTTTTTCATTTTCAAATTACGTCCATATTCAGCCATACGGGTAAACGGCCAAAGGCAACGTTCTTTTTAAGAGGA